TCACAATCCAGAAACAGTGATAAGAAAAGCGGAGTGTCTTGCACATTCTAATCCTGATTTGTGTGTTGTTTTTTTGTGATACAAGATTGGCTAGACATTTTCCAGGGTCAAAGATAGTGGACAATGTTTTGGAAGTTAAAGGAAAATAAAGAACAGTCTCATCAGTCATTTAGCTTAGTACACTGCCCTGAAATTGATATAAATTTATCCTTAAACCTCCATGACCCATCAGTGAAGGACGGTCAGATGGGAGATCCAGCAAGCTATGATCCTGAATAGCCATGTGTTCCCCTCACTGCCTGGATTCGACACTGCATCAGTGGAAGCTAGAGCCGAATCCTGCCTTATGGAACTGGCAGCGTAAAGGAGGCAAGCAGCAGCAGGTATCACAGCCTAATGAAGTACAATGATAAAGAGGGAGGTGTTGCCTTTACCAAAGCACATGGGAGAACCTGACCTAGCCCTGTGATCACCTTTTTCTCTGGTGAAGTGCTATTTGAGCTGAGTTCTGAAGGAGTTCCTGAGACAATTAGAGAAGGCTGCAGTTCAGAGCAGAGGGAATCTGGATTGGAAAAGGCAAGGCAGAAGTACACTAAGCCCAAAGAATCAAAGAGGTCCCTTGTGGCTAGATTGCAGTGATTGGGCATTAGTTGGAGATGAGAATCAAAGATTAGCAGAGGCTTGGCTATCCTCTGGTAAGCCATGGCAATGTGTTTGGTTGTTTATGGCAGAGGAAAGGGAAAGTGTTTTATATCTTATTTCTAAAAAATTTACTAATAGCAATACAGACTGGAAACCAAAGTTAACATGGTAGATAAATTCTCTTACCCTCAATTTCTACCTTAAAATCAGACATGCTCCTCTGGGAGAAATGTCTCCTAGTTGAACCTTCACTGAAAAATGGATTAAACTGGGAGCCAGCCTCTTGGAGGACTAGGAGTACTCTACAGCTGTGCAGAGCTACCCCCACCCCAGCTTGTTCACACCTTGCACAACGCTATCTATATATATCCCACACTCTGTGGTCACATGGGGCCACTGAGTCAGAACAACATAGGTAAGTTAAAATGACATTTCACCAAAGGATGTGTAAAACACTCCTTTTATTAGTTCTAAGTTTCACAGTGTTGAATTATCCTGAATTGGAATGTTATTGTGAAGTGCCATGGAGTCAGTACTGACTCATAGCGACCCTATGCACAAGGACACACTGCCTGGGCCTGTGCCAACCTCACAGTTGTTGCTACACTAGAACCCATGATGCTGCCACTGTGCCAATCCTTCTTGGGAAACATTAAATGGAACTGCTCCATCACCTAGTGGCCTCTTATCAGTCGACCTCAACTATCAAAAGACTCAAGGGAGTATCCTACACTCTGGCTGGTAATCTCCAGTGTAGCTAATGCAACATCACTCCCCTAACCTGCTAGCAGAAGCATATGGGGGTACCAAGGATGACCAATAAGAATTATTGATATGCTGGGTTTCCCAAGTTTATACTCAGCAGGGAAAAATTTATTGCATTTTAGAAAAACCTTCAAAAAAACCCAAAATGTTTTGCAGTTAAGCTATTTGGAAAATTAACATGTGGAACTGCTCTTAACCACGCAAAGTGGGTAAGCAAAGGATTATCCCTCTATAAAACTCTCACATGAAGGGGCTGAGTCACAGTAAGTAGTGTGCTGTTTCATCAGTAACAAGACTAAGTGACTCATCTCCCAAAATCATAAAAACTGCGAAGAAACTTCCCAACCACGAAAGACCAAGGATGAATTTTAAAAAACAAAAAAAAACTTTATTTCAAACAGAATTACCAAAAAAAGCATATTAATGCTGAAACATTTGACACATTTTCATTTAAACTCACAGACACAAAATTCAAAATAGAAAACAAAAATAGCTGTGTGCTTAACCGCTTCTAATTATGGAATTTAAAAAATCATCTAGAGACCCTCACACAATTTGGAAGCCATTTAGGTACGCAGATATTAAGCAAAAAGAAGGCATTAAAAACTAAAAAACCTAAAATTTAGGGAGAGTGTCTGGTCAAGTCTTTAATATGCATTTATTTGCACCCAAGAAAATATTTTATTAACAAACCAGGACTCAGTATAATCGTCTTTCCTCAAATGTTAACTCCCTCTAGTCTTCATTTACAACTGTACTCTCCAGAGCCGGACCTCCACCGAACCAGCATTAGTTCAACATGATTGGCTTCCCCAGGAAAGGACCCTCTAGATCCCATTTACAATCCTGTCGACCACCCATTAGTCACAGGCATGTTTGCACAGCCTTAAACTGAGTGTCGCTGTAGTCACTGAGCTTGGGAATTTCAGGTCTCCAGATGACTCTCTTCACTGCTGTTTTATTGCACGCTCCACAATACATAGCATGTGATTCTGTAACCACAGGTGAATATGACTACTGAGACGAAAAAATCAATGCTGTCCCCATTCACAAATGAAACAAATTTGTCACCATATAAAGGCTGTGTTTACTCAGTGGTGCAGTGCTGAGGGCTCATCCCCCCAGGTGTGTTAAATAACAGAGTCTACAACATGTTTCTAGTAGCATCGATATCAAGTCCAGGAGGCAAAACCCGAAGTGCCCCATGCATACGAGCCATCAGTGCTACCGACCTAACATAAAGGCCACTTTTAAAGCTTTCCAGATGAAGTTATTCAATCATATTTGCCTTTTCAGAACGATGATCCTCATTTATACTGAAGGTTAAAACTATTGTTAGAATCCTTTACTAATTACACATAACTTATTTTTAAAAATTCAGACAAAGCAGTTAGCTAAACAGATTCAGTTCTATCTGTTGTCAAATTTCAGTCTACAGGACAACACAAATCATCCTTGGTAATGTATCTGCAGTTTGGTCTTCAAAGGCTATAAAAGTGACAATCCAAAAATACAAGTTAAAACCAGTAAAAATATTTATTAACTGTTTTCAATGCCACATATTTGACACAGCATAATCTAAAGCATTCTCAGAATTCTCACATCACTTGTATTTTTGTATTCACAAAAGTGCTTGAGAACTTTTTTTTTTAATCACCTGCATGGAGTGTAAAGACAAAACGCAGCCCTGTAGAACCAAAAGGCCAAGCGAGTCCATCTGCAAGGTCAGGGCCTAACCCTGGGTTAACTCGTGTGCCTGTGTGGGACCACCCACACCTGCGAGTAGTCAGGGACCCTCACATGTGAACAAGGGGCATGTACCACAGTACCCTCCTTGTTTGCTTCAGAAATGAGGCCAAGGATGCTACTGGCACTTATTTGGTGTCAAATTCTTGTTTTCAGAAATCCTTAAATCTGGACCTGGTTTCTACAGTAAACTGCCATTTCCAGACATCACTGTCAAGCAGAGTTGCTGCTGTAAAGCTATTTCACGTCATTGTTGCCAGGCAAATGCTTGATGCTGCCTCATCCTTTACAGCTGGAAGACTGTTCACTTACTTAACTAGCCAGACTGCATTTAGAGGTAAATCGTTTTTGGACTTTCTGCCCAGACATTTGGAGTAGACTACCACTTGAGGCCCTGGTTTTATTTTGGTGGGCATATGCATATTAACATGCAGCTACCCAGAAGGATGAAATGTAGAAACCAAACGACTCTACCGTGTCAGATGCCGAGGCACAGTCTTCACGGTGTAGTATTTACACAGGTGGGCTTTTAAGAAGTTTGATGAACCCTTTCTGGATGCTTCTCATGTGCTGCTACTTAACTCAATCCGTGTAATGCATCATTTTGTTGCACTATTTACCTGGAAAAAATGTTTAAATCTGATTCCTTTAACAAATAAGCTTGTGTCTGTGTTAGGTAAAGGACCAGAGTGCAACATGGCCATGCCAAACTCTTAAAACAACTCTCCAGATGTCTTGTTATAGACTTTACAATCTCACTTATTAAAACACAAGTGTAAGATTGGGTTTCCACAAGGTCAAAATCCTAGCAAGAGTTTCTGACTGCTGGGAGTAAACTAGGATAGACAGCACTGTAGTGGGGATGTTTTCCTGAGGGGTTCAGGCGGTTCTTCTGGTAACACGCTGAAACCAGAACAAAGTCTGGAATTTTTATCCTTAATAGACTTCCAAAGCAAAATGTTGCATTTTTTTTTTCCAAAGGGGAGAATTTTTATCCTTAATAGACTTCCAAAGCAAAATGTTGCATTTTTTTTTTCCAAAGGGGAATTTCAAGAGCACAAAATACTTTGAAAAAATTAAGGAAAAACTTTACAAAACCCAAAATTGTAAATGAAAAGGCCAAAGCCCTTTGCTGCTAAGTTGGCACCAATAATTCTAAGAAACAGAGATAAAGAGCTTGATTTATATGTAGTTAATATGGAGCTAAACAGGATGAAAAGGTGACAGCAAAACTTGTCTCCCCATCTTTTGGCAATGGAATAAGTGAAATCAACAGAATATTTTGGAAAAGTTTAGGTCTCACCCAGAATTAATAAGAAATCTTCAAACCTAGAAAGCAAAATAGGAACTTAAATTCACTGCCTGATTCTATCAAGTTTAAAGAGAACTAGTTCAGATAATAACTCTTTTAAGAGCAGCTTAGTTTCAAGCTAATACAAGCAATTTATCCTGAAAAGCCTATCCCTAATAAGTGGGTTTTTGTCTCTGTTCTGCCCCTTTGTCCTACCATGTGCCCAACATTAACAAAGACTAAGTACAATGGAGTACCAAAATAAGCACGAGAACTCATCAGCTATAAAAGCCTTTTCACTGACTGGTCAGGGCCACCTGTATTTTAATACAAAAGTTGAAAGACTGCTTTGGAAACGAAAAAGCTTGTATCTTGGCTATTAGGTTCCCTGTAAAAGGCCATCACCAGCCTACAGCTCTCAGATAAGAAAAAACTTTACATTTCCTATTGAAGCCTTTTATTCTGATATGGTTGATGCTTAAATAAAACAGCTCTGGCCACAAACCACGGTGGCCTGGACTTCTGACACCAACATGTATCTGACCAACTGGGAATCAGGGCAAACTGTATTCTTAGGTCGAGTCACTTGATAAAAAGCACTTAACTGATTATTTCTTTCATATCACCTTCAATAAGAACTCATAAGTCGCATTGATTATGCCCCACGAGATCAGAGAGCGATGGTAATTCAGATGGGCACCTCTGAAAAGATTGGTCAATTTCCTGTCCCGTTCTAGCCAAATTTTTTTAAAAACCCTGGGGAAAGACTGAAATTCCCCACCAATCTGAGACTGCATGCGTGTTTTTACAACATTAATCGGAAAAAACAAGAATCCCAACATGGCACCCAGTAGGCCTCCACAGATGAAATCATTGACTAAATGAGCACTGTGAGACGTGGCAGTAGGCAAATACTCCTTAACGGGGCCTCGAAGGCCAAAAAACAGGGCATTGCTGGATCCATTACGGAGAAGAATGGGCACCAAGCCTCGATAATACTCTCTAATTCCATGGCACTTTAGTGCCTTGAAGGCCTGATAAGTGTTTGTAAATTTGTCATGATGCTTATGATCTTGAAGCAATGTTTGAACTCTTTCCAATGGAGTGAAAATTGCTTCTGTTGTCCCAGCAAGTACAGCTGCCATGGTACACGTTGCAAACTCTGGAGTACTGACATGTTTACGGAGAAGGCGGGATAAATCCTCATACAGACCAAACATAAGGGCCAGTGTAGTTGTCTTCTGCATTAATGGAGGAAGGATCCCTCGATACAAGTTTCGGACTCCATCGCTCCTCAACTGAAGTACTGCATCTCGGGTTTTGATTCCATATAGCTGCTGCCGAAACAGGACCTTTTGAATGGGAAATGTGATGACAATATTGTTGAAGGCTGCACAGCAGCCACACAAGTAATGTTTCATTTGACCAACATTTGCCATGTGAGGTGATATGTCTTGTTTGGAAGATGCTAGGATTGGTGGCCTCTTTTCATGAGCTTCTGAATCCATCATGTTGCTTAAGATCTTTCTTCTTCATGAAGGATTATTTTAACCTGCAAATAAATGACACTGGGTAAGCCTTTATATGAAGAACTCAACATCGGTATCCCCCACTCTACCCCAATCCTCCAATTTCAATTACATTTTTCTTTTGACTAGATCAGAAGTTCTCAAAAGTATTGTCCAAGTATTGTACACCAAATGCCCTTTTGGAGGTGTAGGAGGTCCTCCATTTTCCAACTCTGTATCTGTGTGAGGCTAGATTTTCTAAATATACTTCAACCAAAGCTACATAGCAAAACAAACTGTATGTAGAAGCAGATTATGAGATCCTACCTGTGATTACCAGCCAGACATTAAGGAGATTTACAAAACTGTAAAACGTTCTTCTCATTCTTTTTTTTTAAAATAAGTTTTCATGAGAACGTGTTATGAGAGATCCTCAGGAAAATTCCAAGATCCTCTGATACTACTTTGTATATTTTTTTTGTGTGTGAAACAAACAGAATTAAACTTTTTTTTAAAGTATGCTACACTGAGAGCTGTGTGTCCTTTTCCCAGATGGTAGATTACACAATGAAGAAAACTTAACATTGCCACAATCTCTAATCGAAAGCTGCTTTATGTCTACATTTGTTGTCCATGTTCCTATCAGGAAAGGTACTGTCTTGTCTTCAGCTGAGAGTTAGGACCAGATAGAAGAAACACATCCAAAAAGTCACAACTTGTCTCGCTAAAAGTCACCTGGTTGGATCTACAGAGAACAACAGTGGTAGGATTCAAATCTCATTGTTCAGCCCCATGACCAGGTAAGCTACACCATCTCAGCGTCTCAAACTTCTTGTTCATTTGCAGACATTCACTTTTGACAGAGGGCTGGAGTGCTGCTTACTGAGATCATGGATGGGGAGTAAAGGGGCAGGAAAAATGAGTCCCCAGTGTTCTGAACATTTATTTGACTGCAATTTAATACTCAAAGGCTGGCTCAAAGAGCAGAGCTATTTCTAATTCTGGCAGATACTAAAGCAGGTAGATTATGAAGTCACGTGCATGCTCCACTGAGATGCCAGAACCCTTGAAGTTGGGCTGCTTGCAGCATCACAAACAGAAAGTTATTTAAACGTAAATTCACAAAAGACATGTGCATTACAGAAATGGTATGAGGAAAAAAGTTGCAAATCACTTATCTATCTATAGACACCCTCTCCTCAGTTTCACTGCCCTAGCTCAGACCCCCATCTCATCTCAATTTATGCAAAAGCTTTCTCACTGGCCAACCTGACTCCACTCAGACTCACTCCACCTCGCTCCCTGCCCTACACACCTTTTCAACCTAGCCATCATTTAAAAATACCCAAAAGGATATCGTTGCTAAGTGGTGTTGCGTCGATTCCGACTCATAGCAACCCTGTATAGGGGTTCTGAGGAGTGGCTGCTAAGTCTGAACCGACCTTGTGGTTATCAGTTCAGTGCTTACTCTATAGTGCCACCTAAGGACTCCCCTAAAAGGATGAAACATGTGATTAAGCAAAACAAAACAAGGAATACACGATTTTTAAATATCCAAGTATCAGCAGTTACCAGTGTTTTGAATGGCTAGTCTTTGGTAAATTGCTCGTACTGTATTCAATTTACTGTGTGTCGCTGTAGGATAAACACTGGACTGCTAACCACAAGGTCAGTAGTTCAAACCCACCAGTAACTCTTGGAAACCATATATATATATATACACACATGCACATATACATCCATACATACATACAGGGTATGAGTCGGAAATAACTTGACAGCACATAAGAACAACTCAGGGTCAATGTTTTCTTTTTTAAACTTTTATTTATGCTAAACAAAGCATACACTTTGCTTCATCTCAATAATGGCACGCCCCTCCAGGTAACAACAGTTATCCTGCTTTCTCCCTTCCATTCCACCCACCTTCCCATCCCTTCCCAACTGTGTCCTTAGGGAAATGTTGCCCTTTTGATTTTGAATGATTGACCATTCCATGGTGAGCATACCTTACAAGTGTTGTTGTCTCCCCAATATACCTAGCTACTGCTTGGCTGAAAACTGGGCCATGAGGATGAGTTCCTTTCCAAACCTGAAGGATGGAGGACCAAAGTCTCTGGTTCCTCTAGTCTCTTTCTGACCAGTAAGCCCATCTTTTTTTTTTTTTTTTTAATTATGAATTTTGTTCTACATTTTTTGCTGCTCTATTCAGGCCCTTCTAATGTGATCCCTTTCAGAATAGTTGGTAGCGGTAGTTGGTCACCATCTACTTCTTCTGGTCTCAAGAGTTGTAGAGACTGATGTTCACATGTTCCATCAGTCTGCTGAACTAATTGATTCCAAGCCTCTTCAATTCTCATCACTCTTCGAGCTTTTAAGACCCCAGATGCTACTCACCAAAATAGGATGTATGACATTGTCTTTGTGAACATGCCAACCGACCATGGTGTCCTCTGAGACAATGATCCTAAGCCCCCAGGCCCAGAAACTCAGGTCAATGTGTGTTTTTTGTTTTGTTTTGTTAGAAGTGTTGAACATTCAGGTTACCTGTCTGTGACCCTCATATAATTAGGACAAACTATAAAATATTCTAGGACAAAATGCTTTTAAAAATTAATATATTTTTACTTGTTCTGTGCTATGAATTAAAAAAAAAAAAAAGTTTTGTGAATTATGTGATAGTTTACATGGGAGAACATTAGCTTTACATTCATCCTATCATATATCATTTAATTGCCATGGTTACAATCCCCTCCATGCATCATCAACCAACCAAAGGGTACATCCTGCAAGCCTGCCCCCTGGTTGTCAGCACACAGCCCCTTTCCCTCTCTAGGTCTAGAGTTCCCAGTTGCTCCATCTCTCCACATCATCGTCTCTGCTGTCATTGTTTCTCTGGGTAGGGTCTCGCACTCCACTCTTCTCCCTTGATGGTCCCAAGGACCTCCACTCCTGGACTACAATGTCAATTACTTTCTTCGTTTTGCTACAAAATGTCTACATTTCCAACCCTCACAGTCAGTCCTGATAGTAATTATTCATTATTGTACCACAGGAGTGCTGTCCACATCTCCTTTCATCAGTCCCGCCCAGACAGATTGGATACCACTCAGTGGAGATTCTACTTTCCTCCGCGCCCTCTGGATCTAGGCTCCCTCTTCAAAGCCTGTAAGCCAGTCACTTCCTGCCTTTGTAGCTCCCCCACTTTGGGTAGCCAATGTCCAAGTTGCCCATCCCTGTCTACCCTGTGTATTGAGGGGGTGGGAATGATCCTTGCTGTAAAGATTTGTTCCCTTTTTTGAGCTACTGCATCCATAGGTGTAGGTCAAGTTGATCATATTGTATCAGATTACTCTTCTTCTCCCCCCCGCCCCTTTTCCTTCGTCTAGTTGAGTTCTGATCATCCAGCCATGGAAGCCAGGTCAAGTGGGTATTACCTGCAAGTGTGGCTGTTCTTATGCATATGCCCTCTTTTTTATCAGCTGGATGCTTCACTCTCCACTCTAGTCCTCTGTGGCTTTGTCACTGACTCTGGGCCCAGGAGTCCCTAGGTCTTGCCAAACTGCTGGCCAACCAGGTCTCCACCCCGGTTCATAAGAGTCTATTGAACGTGGTTGGACTTAGCTTGCAGCTTCACTGCTGTTTTTCTCTCATTTCCCCTTATCTGTAACTAACATGGTCACCAGTCAGAGCATGTGTCTGCTTGTGTATTCCCATTGACTCTTAGTTTTGGAAGGGGGTTTGCCCTGAGGGGACTTGAACAGTTGCCTTGATGTTTCCTGGGCTGGCAACTCGCTTGTTCTTGTAGTAGTCAGTAGGACCGCCATTATTGTTTTGTATTTTTCCTGTTGGTCTTTCTTTCAAGAAGTATCTTCTGTTCTT